CCTCTGAAAACCCTATGCACAACAGAACACATGCAGATTAACAGAAAGGGCAACCTAGGTAGAACTATAAAGTATGGAAATACAAAGGAGGAGGAACAAGTGGGCGTGTTGGCTTACTCACAAAAAGATTGACTATCTACTATTCCATACTTGTTCCTCCTCGAACTTAATTGTGGGTTCTGGATCTTAGGACCACAGCCTTGGGGACATCAAGGGAAATACACATAACATGGTCTACCAGGACAATTTTCTGCATTCTCCTTTGGAGAGTACCCACTAGGATCTTAAAAGCTGGTGAGCAGCCATCTAAAGTACAGCTACTAGTCTTTCCCTATCCAGAAAAAATATGAGGGCAAGGGTGGGCGGGGGTGGGGGGGGCAAAGATGTACTCAAATAACCAGTCCAAAGACTACAGGGCCATATGAACGTCAATTTCCATGGCCTAATGCCTAGGAGAACAAGATGATGTCCAGCTACCACCACTGAACACTCTAAAAGAATCACAATAGAATGAGATCTTTAATAGAGTGAGAGAAAATGTAGAACAAAACTAAAAAATATTAAAAAGGCCAGCCTAACTGGTCTGATAGAAACTGGTGGCACCACAGACCTGGAACAAAACTTGCTCTATGGCACAATTTTCAGGCAAATAATGAGACAAGCCAGGGATCTTTGGTGGCTTAGTGGTAAAGAATTGTACTGCTAACTCAAAGGTATGCAGTTTGTATCCATTCATGGGAAAAAGATAGGCAGTCTCCACTAGTGCAACTTACTGCCTCTGAAAACTACTGGCTAGAGGGCCAGCTATGAGTCAGATCTGATTCAATGGTTTTCATCAACAATAACAACAATATAGAGTAAACATTAACACCAGAGAGGTATTCAATTCTTAGAATAACCAAGCCTATAGAGCCAAAAGAGCAGTATTTGTCAAAAAATAAAGCTCAGAAGGCAGAAAGGGTAAGAAAAGATTAATGGAAATGAGAATTATAGGGAAGAAGTTGGAAAAAAATTTTTGTGGGTATTATACTTTTTATAGAACAAAATATATATGAATGATTGAATGAAAACCCAATTTGCTTTGTAAACATACATCAAATTATAGTTTTAAATAAAATCTCTGATGGAGAAGGGGAAGAAACAGACTCTGAAGCAAAGATTTGTATGCAGGTGGTTGATGGTGAAGTAGTGAAAGCAGTAGGCAGTTAACTAAAATAACAGTTTTGAAGCAACCAGTCATTCTGTGGGAGAAAGATAGTGCAGCATATGTATTGAACTATGCCATCAGTACTCTTTTCACCATCACTAAGATGAAAGACATCCCTGGAGAAAGACCTCATGCTTAGTATACCAGAGGGTCAATGAAAAACAAGATCTTCAAGATGGACTGCCCAGTGGCTGTGTGTGTTTAAGCACAGCAGAGACTGTGGGAATATCATAGGATTGAGCAGTGTTTTGTTTTTTTGTACATGACATCTATGCTTCAAAACCAATTTGATAGCACCAAAAAATGGATAGCTATGGGGAAAACTGAGACTAAGATTCTCCCCTTGATAGATGTCGAAGAGTTTGAGATGTTAACAATTACAGCTTGCTTGGCTCCAAAATAAAAACTCTTGGCATGAGCAGTCAGTCAGTATATCAAAAAAAAAAATTGTCATCATTTTGTTGTTATGTGCTGCTGAGTCATCTGCTACTCATAGTGATCCTACGTACAGCAGCTCTGAAGCCTGCCCTCTCCTAAGCCCGTCTCGCTTACTCTGATACACCCTCCCTCATTGCCCCAGTTACTGTATCAATCCATTTCATCCAGGGTCTACCTCTCCTGCGCTGTCCGTCCACCCTTTCGAGAATGATGTCCTTCTCCAAGGATTGGTCCCTCCAGGCCATGTGCCCAAAGTATGTGAGATGCAGCTTCAAAATCCCAGCCTCCAAGGAGAAACTTGGTTTCACCTTCTCTAAGACAGACCTGTTTGTTTTCTTGGTGGTGCATGGTATGCTCAATATTCTTCTCCAGCACCACAGCTCAAAGGCATCAATTTTTCTTCTGTCATCCTTGATCATTGTCCAGCTCTCTGATGCATAGCAAGTAATTGTGAAGACCATGGCCTGGATCAGGCGCACCTTCATTTCTAGACTGACATCATTGATTCTTAGTATTCTGGAGAGGTCCCTGACAGGAGATTTTCCCAGTGCATTCATCTTTTGATTTCCTGGCCTCTGGTGCCAAGAGTGTTGACTGTGGAGATGAGCAAGCCTGTAGTTAACAACGTCAGTCTATTCTCCATCTATCATGGTACTGCCAGTGGCCCAGTGATGAGAATCTGTTTTCTTGATGTTGAGCTTCAATCCATTTTGAAGACTATAGTCCATGACCTTCTGCAGAAAGCCCTTCAGGAGCTTCAAAAGACAAATTGCATTAAGAAAATTTGCCGTCATTGCCCTTTCTAGAGTGCTGAAGAGCAACAGTGTTAATCTAGAGATTAAAGTGCACCTACTCCAAGCCATGATCTTCATAATTACTTGCTATGCATCAGAGAGCTGGACAATTACTAAGGATGATAGAAGAATCTATGCCTTTGAGTTATGGTGCTGGAGAAGAGTATTGAACATTCCATGGGCTGCCAAGAGAACAAACAGGTCTGTCCTTGAGAGGGTGAAGACCCTCAACACCAACCGTGGACAGTTTTAAAGTAGTGGACATATGAGTTGGGCTTATGGTGTTTCTTAAATGTTAAGATGAATTTTGAATTCGCTTGAATGACGAAGTTGCGTTAATTGAGGTTCTTTAGCAGAAGTTAATGACTCCATCCCTCTGAAGACTTTCTAAGGAAACTTAATGCACATTGACTGGATGGACACTGAATGACTCTGGATTCAAGAACTTCACCTTTAAAGAGTTTGGTGCTATTGATTTGAAATAACTAGAATGAATGACTGGATGAAAATTGATGAGGAGAATAAGTTTATTCCCTTTAATGTCTGAACTTTAATACATAACCACTTACTTTAGTTTAAAGGATGACTGACTGGGGGTCCTGATTGTGAGTGTGTGAGCCGAGCTCCAGGCAGGAAACTTCCATCTTTCACTCATAGCAAGCCCAGGGCATTAAATGATGTCATGTTAACTTGACGTCACCAGCACTGCACTGACGCAAATCTCAAAGGGAGGAGACCATCAGTTCCCTTCAGAGGGCAGTCAGTTCCCCGGAGCAGCGAGGTGGTTGTCTTCCATTCTTCCCTGAAGGTTTGGATAGTCAGAGCTGCAGAAACCCAACCGCACAGGGTATCCGTGGCGGCCAGCCTGCTTTCCCGTCCCTCATCCACCACCTATCTGAGGCCCAGGCGCGGTCCAGGCGGCGGCGCGAGCACGAGCCTGCAGTCTGAGGCGGCCACGCGCGCGCACGCACGCTGGTGCGCACGCTCGTTCCCTCAGAACCCGGAAGTGCGCGGGAGAGCGAACCACGTGGGTGGAGCTGGAGCACGGATCGCATGGGGGAGTCTATCCCGCTTGCCGCCCCGGTGCCGGTGGAACAGGCGGTGCTGGAGACGTTCTTCTCTCACCTGGGTATCTTCTCTTACGACAAGGCCAAGGACAATGTGGAGAAGGAACGAGAGGCCAACAAGAGCGCGGGGGGCAGCTGGCTGTCGCTGCTGGCGGCCTTGGCCCACCTGGCCGCGGCCGAGAAGGTCTATCACAGCCTCACCTACCTGGGGCAAAAACTAGGTACCTCTGCCCCGGCCCCGTGCCCCTTGAGGGGGAAGGAAAGCGGGTACATTCGGCAATGGCTTGGGTTCCTTGTCTCCGTTGTCACTCCTAGTCGCAGGCTGACTCTGCCTGGAGTCTCCTCCCACAGTTCCCTTCCTTCCCCCGGCTTCCACAAGCCCCGCCCACAGGCCTCCCCTGCTGATAGATTGGCGGACCAGGTGGATGCTCTTTGCAGGGCTGCGCCTCAAACCCATGGCTTTATTCATTTTACCCGGTGCATGGATCAGCGCCATAAATAACCGAGCTCGCTTTTCTGCCCAGTGACACTGCGGCCAGAGGAGCAAAACTTGGCACTACCACCTGATTGTATAAGAGTTAATGAACACTGTTGTCTGACCTCTTAAAGCTAAGAATCTGGAGAATTATAGATCGTCACCTACCTACATCTCCCAATAAATATTTTATGAATGAAGATATTAATGAAAAATGAGTCGAAAAGGCAAGAGACGCCAACTAAAGTCACTTAATGGGGGAAATCTTAAATACTCATATCCCTGAAAATCAGTAAGATGTAACAGGAGCTGATAAAATTGACTATCACAACCAATAGAAACAATATCATTAAATTGAAAAAAATAAAATCCAAGGGCTATACACACAAAATATTACTACTTACAGTAATGTCATCGAGTCGAGCACGACTCAGCGACTCTATGAAAGGCCTGAAGCCTTTCTATAACAACATTTATCCAAGTTCCTAGTAATAATAAAAGCGCTTGTTTGAATCAGCTTTTCGAGTAATTTTCATACTTCTGGCATATTTTAGACCCATTATCAGAGACACAGCTGTTAAGGAGATATATATATATATATATACAGGACAGAAAATAGGAATGTAAAATTGGACCTAAATTCCATTTTGCTTTTTCCTCCAAATTTCCTTACATAATTTGAAGGTGACCGTGTACATCTTACTGAGCTATTAGTAAACAAAGGCCTGAGACTTTCTTAGATTCTTAGCTTCTGTTGTAGCTATTTGTAGAATTTTATTTATTGGCAAAAACTCATGCAGCATTTCTGCCTTGTACATTTCCCCCTTCCTCTTTTTACAGTGGCATCTCTCACAGATTTACGTATTTTGAGGTGGTAGTCTCCTTTTACAGATTAGCAGATGGAGTGTATGCAGTTATGTGAGTAGGTGGTAGACCCCAAACCAGACTATCTGCTTTGAGATGCTGTGTTAAGTGTATCCACATAGATTATCAAAACATGCATACGGATATCATGTCTATAGTATGTAATTTATTTATAAACAATACTTTAAAATAGGGCTAGGGGATTAATCATGGAGTTATACGCTTTGATGGGTGTGGGAAATTTGAAGAATCTGTTCTTGAAAACAATGTATTTGAATTTTTAAAATTAGTATAAAAATATAAGGGTTTTTTTTTTGCTGTAAAAATTGAAAATGGGCAAATTTTTGCAGTTTTGATAGTTTTCAGATTTTTTTCCACCTCATGAAAATGGTGATGACCTCAGTGTCTTGCTTCTTAACCAATTTTTTTACTCTCATTTATGAGAAAGTGATGGGTATTATGCAGAAAAATGTATGTGTACATTATAGTTTTGCATATAACTGAGAGAGTGCAGTTGAATTTCCTAAAACTTACTTAGGAATTCCTAAGCTCTGGTTGGTTGTAGGGAGGTCTGGTGGCCTAGTGGTAAGAAACTGCATAGCCAACCCGAAGGCAGACTCTGAAAATCTGCTGAAGGGTCATCTATGAGTTGATTCCAACTTGAGGACTATTTGTGTAGTCCGTAGGGCGCTTCACTGCTAGGTAAAAAGATCACTCCTCTCTTAACAGTTCAAATCCACTGGCTGCTCCATTGGAGACAGACAAGCAATCTTGTCCTGTGTGATTTACAGCCTTAGAAAATCCACTGGTCATCCCCCAGTTGTTTCCAACTTGAATACAGTATCTCTTCAAAGCTTTGAAAAGATTTGACCCCACCCTGCAGCTCCCTGGAAGAAATACTTGGAACTTTGCTGGCATGAAGACTCAAATTCAAACTTGGACTCAGCTGCCATCAAATTGGTTCTGACTCACACTGAGTCTCCAGGAGGTTTCCGAAGTTATAAATTGTAATTGGAGGAGACCGGCCATCGTTCTCTCACAGAGCTGCTGGTGATTCGAACCTTAGAACATTGTCGTCTTTGAGTTAGCAGCACAAGCCACTAATAGCTTCACTAACAGAGTGGCTCTCTCCCTCGTCCCTCTCCCCACAATGACATTGTAGAAAACACTATTGTGCAGTTCTCCCCTGCTCTTTAGGGTCACAGGAGTCCAGTCATAAGAGCAGCTTAAGTTGCATGACCTGGGTTTTTAGGAAAACTGTCTTCCTTGTCTGTAAAGACCATTTGTATACGACTTTGTCTGACTTGGTTTCTGTGAAGTGGCCATTATTGTCTAAAGTCTTCAGTTCTGTTTAAACATAACCTGACATCAGTGAGCTGACCCTGACCCTGACCACAGAGCGGTTTGTACTGTGAGCCATGCCTTGGTACTGTTCAGGCTTGCAGGTCATCTCACGACTTCAAGTAAACATTCTAGCTGAAAAGGCACATAGAACTTTAAGGCCTCCTGCCATATTTGTCAGTGTAATAAATACAAATTTCACATTTTAACTTGGAAAATATCTGATAACTTTTTTATACTGAAATGTGTGTGATGTCAGTGTGCATAAGGGGATGTTACAGTTATTGACTACATTTTTTTTAAAACATTCTTGTTTTGCCATTTAAAACATTTCCATGTTCTTCAGCTACATTGCTGAAACAAAGTTTATGTGTTTTCTGTAAAATACCAAGCAAAAAGTAGTTTACTTTTTGAAAAACTTAAAATGTGGTTTAAAAACATGAGTCTTTGACTTTGTTCTTTTTAAAAAAAATTTTTTTAATTATTATTATTTTTAGTGTCTGTACCATCAAGTAGAATCTGATTGGTACAGGAGGAGACTTCCCCTCCTTCTCCAGCAAAGCATCTGGTGGATTTGAACCGCATACCTCTGGGCTTGCAATGCAGCCTCCCGCCACCGGAGCTCCCCTGACTTTGTTCTTATGACTGGTGATCTCAGGCTTTAGCAATGGGGTCTGATCCTAAATGTAAACTTGGGCCTTTTAGACCAGGCCTGACAGGAAACCTCTCTTCCTGTCTTGGCTCAGTGACAGACAAGCTTGAGGTGGAGCTCTTATCTTGAAACCTTCCTTTCCCTTTGAGCAGAGAATAATATCTGTTTGAGGATGAATCAGTGATTCAAATGTTCTGTGGTAGTCTTTATTTTCCTAATAGCTTGTCTCTGACCTTTATTGGGGTGCAGAATTGCTTAAGAGAACATTTGTGAACCTGACTCAATAATTATGAGAAATAAAGTTTATTATATACTGTTGTGTACCGTCAAGTTGGAACCAACCCATCACTGTCCCTTTGGTGGGTTTTCAGAGGCAGTTAATCACACAGGAGGAAATTAACTCCCGGGGACCAGCTGGTGGATTTGAACTGCGTACCACTAGGCCACCAGAGCTCATTATATACTGATAGTTAAGGAAGTAATGGCTGTGCCTTTTGATTTCTTTTGGTTTTGAATGAAATGCATTTGAATCTATTTTGGTATGATTTTCTTTGGAACCCCTCAGTTACAGCAGCAGTTATTTCTAATTGTTCCTGCTCTTAAGAATTCACACTGTGATGGTTATTTTGTTACAGCCTGTTGTCTCAGTCTTGTCAAGACTTTCTTGGTCCCTCCCCCCACTTCTGGGATGCCAGTAGTCTATATTCTTGTGTAAGAAGGATACGTGTAGGTGTGCTCTATTTTCTCTTGTGACCCTAAAGAAAAGATTTCTGGGAAAATAAAACTCAAAAGCTGAAAAAAAATGTGTTATTTGTCAGGAATAGCAACAATTATTTAATTTGTGCTCAATTTTGTATTACATACAGGTAGAAGGATGACTTTTTATATCAACATTGACGTCATTTGTTAGTTATTCTCAGATGTAAATTTGAATCTTTGTTGAAGTTCAATGAAGGAGAATAGGTGGGTGGTTAAGAAAAATCATACAAAATTCCTTTGCTAACTAATAAATTATAGTAGACATTCATTTAAGCTTGTTCCTCAGAGAAATTGTTAATCACAAAAAACTTAATCACCAATCACAGAAGTCAGAATGTTATAGATGAAACGCATTGAGCTCAGTGGGTTCAAAAGGAAAAGACCTTTTTTGGATTTAGGGAGATATTTTGGGCTTCTTGTTTCTCTGCCTTACCTTTTATGTGCTTATTATATCGTTTGCCTACTAGGGGGCCAGTCTTTCTTCAGCAGGAAGGACTCCATTCGCACCATCTATACTTCTCTGCATAATGAGCTGAAGAAAGTGGTGACTGGACGTGGTGCCCTGGGTGGGGCTGCTCCTCATGTGGAAGAGCTTCTTTCCCACCTGTCAGAGCAGCTCTGCTTCTTCGTTCAGGCTCGAATGGAGATTGCAGACTTCTATGAGAAGATGTACACCCTCAGTACACAGAAGTTCATCAGTGCTGAAGAACTCGTTGGTGTTTTGGACACCATCCTCAAAAAATACAGCTCCAGGTCAGTGAGTATAAGAAGGGCGGGTCGGAGAGAACTCAGGTACTTTCTCAATCCTGCTTAGTGTCTGAGTTACTTTCCACACTTTCATGAAAATCTGTAATGAATAACTGTGAAAGAATAGAGCTTAATTTTATGCATATTAATTAATCAAGGGTATGTGTTAGCGACCTTATCTTTTTTGAAGCTTAGCACCATGCTACATCCTTCTCTAAGGGACCTATGCTGGCCTAGTGGTAAGAAGCTGTGCTGCAATCCCAAAGGCAGGTGTTTCAAATCAGCCAGATGCTCTGTGGGAGAAAGATAGGCAATCTCCTCTCAGGAGATTAACTGCCTCAGTAAATCTGCTGGAGGGTCAACTATAGGTCACTTCTGACTCAATGGTACAAAACAGACATCGTTATTTAAATAATTAGAAACGCTTGAGAATGAAGTAATCCTTAAAAGATTTGTTATAATGGGTTAGGCTACTTATGAAAGATCACACAACAGTTAAAGAATTTGTGCTGGCAACCCAAAGGCCCATGGTTCTAATCCACCAACTGCTCCACAGAAGAAAGATGAGTAGTCTCTTCCCATGTGATTTACTGCTCCTGAAAATCCACTGCAGAGTCAGCTTATGAGTTGGTCTGACTCCTGCATGTAAGAACAACAAAGTGATTTCAAGTCACCTGTTATTCAAATATTCTTTTCAAAATGGTCACCTCAGTGAATTATACTTCCTTTGATGTAACTAAGTCATTACTGATCCTCTGGGAACTGCCTTGTAGCTGACCATCCAATGAAATTTTGGAGGCTGTAAATTGGACAGGAGGGGATTTCCCGTACTTATTCCATGGAGCCCCTGGTAGAGTCAAAGTACAAGAGAGGTACCATTTTTGAGTTAGAAATGCAACTTGATGTGGTCTCCACTGTCAGAGCTTCCTTTACATATAGTGGTGGTGTGTGCTATAAGTTGGAAATGACTCACAGCTGACCCTCCAGTGGGTTTTCAGAGACTGTAGATTGCATGGGATTACAGTAGTCCACCAGAGTTCCCTTTACACATAGTCGGTGCTCTGTGATCATATGTTGGACTGCATGAGGTGATTATTTGGAAGGCTGACACACTTTTGAATGAGTTCAACTGTATTTGCTAAGAGAAAAAAAGGTAGACATAATAATTTACAGGCCCTTCTCATAAATGAATTGAGGGAAGCCAGTAAACTGAAACAATTAAGAGACCTGATGAAGTTGATAGCATCTCAGGTGGACTTTTAGGGAACAATAGAAACCAATTTATAGCTGCTGCTCCATTGTTTTAATGAGGCTGAACGGCCAGAGAGGCTCATCTTTAAACTAGCAGCACAACTTTGTATGGACTACAATATCAGAGGGCAACAGGCTCAAGGGGAAAAGGTCTCTTCGTTGATTCCCAAATGCTAATGTGAAAGTGGTTTACAGAAACATTTGGGAAACTTAAAAAATCTTCAAAGTCATATTTAGGCTCTTTGTTTCTTCCTTAATTAGGATAGGATTATGTGATTCTGGATTGAGTGCCTGCAAATCTCAAGAAAACGGATTAGAAAAATAAGGGAAAGATGTGAACTGTAGGAAATACTAAGCACTGAACCTTATGATCCATATGTTATCTGTTATCTGCAAGATATTTAGGAGGTATTGCATTTAAATGGTGGCTATGTGTTGGTTTCCTTCACTCTGATTTTTGGTTTTGATAAAGCAGGTGGGCAGAATGAATGTCCTTGTTTGCGTGTCTGGCTGAAATTGAATTCTTTGCACCTGTCTCCAGGAGGGTGGGTTACAGGTGGGGGTTTGGGCAAAGGTGGCTTTTCGTAGAATAGCTGCACAAGGGTGAACAGGAGCTGAGTACTAACTGAGATGTTGTCATATTTGTCTGATGACTATAACTCCATCCACTTGAGAGTCTAATAGCTGAGACCTAGGGGCTTCTTGTAGGTCCTCCTTATCCATCTCTCTAAAGTCTGGAACTGCATGCATTCTGTGTTGGCTGCTGGTGAGAGTGCACTAGGGTGGGTCTAGATTTTTATCTGTTCTCCAACTTATGAGGGCAAGGCAAGGTTACTAGGAATACTACGATGAAGGTATATTGTAGAAAGTGAAACAAGTTACACATAAATACACCCATGCACAACAAAACATTTGCCTTTCAACATTTTTCACTTGCCTAATTCAGTGACATTAATTCTGTTCATCATGTTGTGTAAGCCTGCTGATTCCAGATGTCATTCTTGAAGCTCTAGGGCTTTACATGTCCTGAGTATCAGTAAACCATTATTTGTGGGATTTTATGGAGCTACTTTTCAACATAGCATATTATCAATTGGAGTTTTCATCTCCAATTTTTCTCCATCTATGCTGCCTTTCTCTAATTAGTAGATCATGGAGATGCCATGTTCTGAAAATTATCAAAATCAGAGGTTTGGGTTAATTTGAACAGTATGAACTCTTAAGAAATTATGAAAAGTTGAAACTGTACAATATGTTGAATTTTTTTTAGAACTAGAATTCTTTTACATTTAAATTAATTATGGTTTTGCCTTTGCTTGTATCACATCCTTTTTTTCTGTAGATATTTGATGTGACATCTGTGCTATATTCAGATAAATTTCTTTATATGTGTGATCCTAGTATCCTAAGGCAAAGGAACTCTAGTGGAACATTCCATAGCATGCTGTTCTGCAAACTAAAAGGCTGGGTTTGAAACAGTTAAAATTTACCAACAGCTCCTCAGGAGAAAGATGAGCTGTCTCTTCTCTTTAAGATTTACAACCTTGGAAATATGATGGAGGGTTCCTATTAGTAGTAACTGGATTGATGGCATTAAGTGAGTTGGAGTGTCCCAGAGAAAAAAATTACTGTTTTTATGTTCTCTTGTATTGAAAGATTTCGTTGTTTCCAAAGAACCCAATTTATTTATCTTTGATAGAATGTTTATTTAACCCAATATATCAGAGCTGTGTCAGGCCACTTACTGAAACTTTATAAATAGTTTCCTCTTTCAACTGATGGAATACATTTTATTAAAAATTAGCAGTCTTAAAAAAAAATTAGCAGTCTTGATGAGTTCTTGCCTAAATGAATTCTTCTTGTTTTGTGCCATCGAGTCACCTGTGACCCATAGTGACTCTATGTACAGCAGCTCTGAACCCTGCCAGGTCCTTAGTCAGTCTCATTAATTCTAACAAACCAACCCCCATGGCCCCAGTTACTGTATCAATCCATCTCATCCGGTGTCTTCCTCTCCTATGCTGTCCCTCCACCCTTTCAAGCATAATGTCCTTCTCCAAGGACTGGTCTCTACTGGCCATGTGCCCAAAGTATGTAAGATGGATCTTCTTTAGTCACTAAATTAATTTTATGACTCATAGATTGGTATCAGCTGTTTGTAAAATACTGTTTACTTTTGTTATTGTTGTTGTTAGGTGCTGTTGAATCAAACATGACTCATAGTGACCTTATGAACAAAATATCTGAATCTGTTGTAAAACAGGACTGACATCGGGGTTGAGGGGAAGATAAGAAAAGAGAGGATAAATAATATATACCACATGAAAACAGTTGAGGGAGAGAAGTGCTTAAAAAGAATATATGATTAGGTATTATTTGTATGACAACAGTCCAGAAGAAGAGCTGCATAGTAAAGTGGATTGGGGTGGGAGTGGGGAATTGTACAACAATGAAATAATTTTTTTTCCAAAGAAAAAAACAAAATGTGGGGAGCAGGGAAGAAAATGTGCAACAATGAATGAATGGAAATCCAAGTTCTCTATTAACTTTCATTAAAATAGCAATTAAAAAAAAAAACCAAAGAAAAAAGATCTGAACCCTGTTCTATCCTGCACCATGCTCACATTTCCTGACACACAAGAGCCCATTTCAGCAGTCACCTTTTCAATCCGCCTGGTTGAGGGTCTTCCGACCCTCCATCCTTCACAGTATCATGTCCTTCTCCAAGGAGTAGCGTCTCCTAGCAACATGTCTAAAGTATGTCAAGCAAAGCCTCATCATTCTTGCTTCCAAAGATCACTCTGGCTGCACCCTGTCCAAAACATATCTGTTCGTTCTCTTGGCCATCCATAAGGCTATTTTCTCCCTTCAAGGCGGAAAGGGGGGAGGGGGGAATAGACAAGACAGTTAGATGCTGAGCATATGAGTCATGACAGCATGACCTCATTTTTATAAATTTTCTTTCTGACTCTTCCAATCTTAAGCCTCACTTCCTTAGAAATACCTTTCCTGCCCACCCACAATTCCTTCCACAGATATAGTCAGTCTGATTCCTATGCTGTCCTTCAGGTGAGGTCCATGTGTATAATCACCATCTGTGTTTATTAAAGAAGATAATTGTAATGAATAAATCATTGAATGTATTACTTTGTGTTATGGAAAACTAGTGTCCTAGTTTGCGTAGTAAATGTTATAGTCCAAATAACAGAAAAGACAGTTATTAAGAAATTAGAGTATATAACTGGGGAACCTGACCTAGCCTATTCTGGGTATCGAGATACCCTAGATATTTTGCACAAAGTTTTTTGATCTAGATAAATATTTTGCAGAAACATAGTTAAGTGTTCTTGAATTCCCATTGTTCTCAATGTTGGCTATAGCTGGTTGTGATCCACATAGTCACATGCCTCTGTGTAATCAATAAAACATAAATAGATTTTATTCTGGTATTCTCTTTCTTTAGCCAGGATCCATCTAACTGGTGAGTATCACCAATGATATTCCTGGTGCCATTGTTGTTGTTGTTGTTTGATGCCCTTGAGTCGTAGACGACTCATAGCGACCCTATGAACGAACGGCCTGAGCACTGTTCGTACATAGAGTTTCCAGAGGCAAGCCATTTTGGAAGTGGATGCTGCTCCAGCTTCCAGTCCTGGTGCCATAGCCTCTTCTAAATCCAGCTTGAATTTCTGACAGTTCCTTCTGAATGCACTGTTCTAACTGCTTTGGGGTGATCTTCAGCAAGATTTTGCTTG